CTTGACTGACTGTTATCCTGTACCCGGATAACCCGTGACCTTACTGCTGTGTACATCTCGTCACTGAGTGAGGGATGGATGGAGGAACGAACGACATTTGTGCAACATATCCAACAAAACTTGTCGTCCCAATACAGCAGCTTTGTATTTACAAACAAACAACCAAAACACAGAGCTGGACATTGAGTATCCACGCTAAGCCTCCCGCCACTTGTGTGTAGTTGACAGGTGGTCCAACACACGCTGACAGCACCCGACTCTTCTACTGAAAGTGTAACCCAAACCACGGGCCTACTAATAACACTTCTCATCTCCACTTCTCACACACCAGACACTGGTATTACTTTCCAAAAGCAGCCTATTGATAAAGGTTTCCGATTCTTACTCACTAATTATTTACTCAACGATGACTCATATTTCTGTTCTGTCCCTTTTACTTGCATTTCGATAGAATGGACACAGCTTGAGATATGTTTTCGGGGCCCTTAGGGTTAAGTACGCAATTAAGATAGCTAACCCCACTCTCCCGTCCTCACCCGTACACAGAATTATTGCACACTCTCACCCAATTACCGCCCGAGCCAAGACTGCGGCCAGCACCGATGCTTGTTCAGGAATTTGAGCGGACAAAGGAACACGGCTAAGCTATTTACGGTCTTTATTCAGAGGTAAGGCGATGCCAAGCGGGTGGTACGCAAGACTTACCTCGTTAAGGTGTACCCCAGGTAGCGTGAACGTGACGCCGGGTAGACGTACAACATTCAACAACAACCAGATAATATAACCTGGCCAGACTTGGATGTTTGTATGTTACGGTGTATTTTCGTTATATACTAGTGATATATTTAGTTACATATACTAATTTTGATAATATCTTCTACAGCAGCTTTACCGTGGGACTCCTATTGTGTGGTACATGTAATCCCCACCTCTCAGTAGAATTTAATCAGACTAGCTATGGCGACTTCTATCCCGCAACATGCCTCTTGTTTCAGAAACTTCTATTATTGGTACACAAGAACTTGAACGAATAGTCAATTTCGTTCGCCTCGCCCGCAAATGTGTTTTATCGGTGTTTTTGCAACATGCAGTTCCAATTTTTAGTTAAAGGCTCTGTATACTGAAAGAAGCTGTCGATACCCCCATATTGTACATGTGTTGCTATGTAGCAATAAATGATATATGAGCAGTAATTTTGTAAGGGAAAAAGACGGGAGAAGTTGTGGTAAAGCTTTGCCCAACTGCAAAACAAACACGTAAGTTGTTCCGTCATTTGTTGGTGACCCGAGTTGGTCACTGTCAAGCTGTGCACATAGAATGTGACGTCATAAGGTGATAGTTTAATTAAACACTGACACAGTCGACCCTTTAAACGCTTGGGTTTCTTCCCATGTCACCCAGTGCCGCTCTAGCCATGCCGGCATTCGAATTCAAATGTTATAGACTGATTGGTTTTGTCAACAGAACGCACAATAAACGTATTCACAGAGTAACGACCAACCGCATTCGTCTTGATATTTCTTGGCGTTGCTTTTGTACTTTGTACCGGTCATGAACTTGTGTATAACCCCACCGGCTGCCACCAGTGTAACCATAAGGAGCCGTTAAATGTTACAAGTTGGAACATGAACCAACTGTGGTATGTCAACCTATAAAGCTAGTTATCACATACACGTACTTCTATGTATGTCATCAACTTAGTGACACGGGACATCTAATTCTCTTTTAAATGACTACACGTTTGTACTAGTGAGTATTTGAAAAACGACTTTGTTGGACAATGTCGTTTTTAACGTTCACATTTTCTCGGTACGCCATGTTTTCGCACACTTTTTAGTGCCTCCTGTCGTGTGTTAGAAGGTTCCTGTGCCCTCATGTGTTGTCTTAAAAGCTTTCAACAGGAAACAACTTGCCAACAGGCCGTGTGCGTGTTGAAACATGGGTGCTTGAGTTGAATAGTCTGTCACCCGTCCGGAGACGCTGACCCATTTGTTAGAACAGCCTGACTCGTTTGGATAAACTTAGCATCGTCCAGCAAAACGCGACAGTACTTGGAAGTCCCACTTTAAGGTATCATGTCGCATGTCGCATGATGTGAATAAAGCGATGGAAAAGTAAGTGAACAGTACTAGTGACTACATGACGCTTTGACATACATGTATGACACATTTGAGTGACGCAAGTCTTACTGCCATAACGTATGTATTGCCCGCAGTCATACAAAAAACAAACAAGGTATCGACCAATGTCAGTTCAAATTTGACCCTTTAGTCAAGTTCATCTACCTACCCCCCCTCCCACACGTTTTCTTCACACATGCCACACCCTGCCATCCCCGGGGTCTCCCTCTCCACTCCCCCTGCCCCACGGGGGCATAATAAAGTGTTACAGACAGCTGTAATGAACATGACGTTCATCAGAACTTGTTAAGTCAGTCTTACCCACCTGTTAAACAGTTCTTGCTGTCCAGGCGGTTTGTCCTAAGAAAATCCACCTGCCTGTCCGTCGTGCTGTACAGTATCGCCAGTGGCAACTCGCCGGGCTAAGTTTCACCTTCTCTTTGTTGCCAACAAACAGGGTCATGCCATCGTGACTAGAGAAGGGGAGACATTCCAACTGTAGAAAAATTGCGATCTCCTGAGTTCAGAATAATGGACATCTTAAGATTACATAACCGTGTCCTCGTTCGTTTACATGTATTACCGCAGACGATTAAGACATTTCTGTTGTTTCTTGCGTGTTCTTCTACAGTAGACATACGGTATGTCGCCCACTTGTTAGATGTAGTGGTACCACCCACCGGCGAAGTTATAGTTGGATATTGTTACCTGTTGTACCTGCTCCATGGTAACCAAGGGTCAAACTACTACACCTGTGGGAACACTGCTACCTGAACTAGACTTCACCAAAATGCTAACAGAGGCTCACAGTTATTGCGACCAATAAAAGTAACTGCTGCCCATCGTTGTACCAATCTATTTAAAAGAATACATGGCTCTTATATAATCTCAAAGTTCTTAAATATCTTACGGAGCCCCTTCCCGTTTTACATAAATATCCAATTGCTTTATCCTTAATTGGTTAGCTTTGAGATTTCGATATTCATCTCATATCGATATATATCAGATAGAATAGATAGGAATGGGCATTTAAAACCAATGAGGAGAGTTAGATAATACTGCAGCCGCTCTAATTCAGTCGTAAGTTCAAGGTTTTAAAACTGAGATTGTAATGCTATTATTGGTTGCTTACAGAAGTGTGTTAGGCAATGGGATACGCTGCTGTATATGTTGCGCATACATTGGAGCTGTCAAAGTGGCGCCTTCAATAGTTTTCAGGCCAAGAAAAGTTTCAAACGTGGAAGACATCGTTTTCTACATACCACATTCCATGTTACACAAAACTTTATCACATGCCATGGCATCGGGGCTTGAGGAAGATAAATAAACTCCATGTCTTGGTGCACGTGCTTGCCAGAACACAGCATTTCCACGTTCTGTGCTCAATGGTAGAAGGTGACATAAATACCAGCTTTCATTATCAGCCAGCAACACCACATGTTCAATTTACTCAAAGGGAACTATTTCTTTTCAAACCAGCCAGGCACCGTTGCCAAGTATGTCCAGTGAATTTCGGTCAACGTACATATAGAGAGAGTAACATGGCCACGTGTGTTTTGTTTTTCGACATGGGTCAGCGCCCTCTAGTAACTGAATAATGTTTTGCAGAGCAATGATGTTGTAAACACTGATTGAACCTACCACCTGTACCCTGTTATCAATGTCAATTGAGGTTTTCATATAACTGTCAGATGCTAATAAATCGTAGGAGTTAATCTGACTGACATTGATGAGGACATCCGATTGAAATCATTGCCTGAAATAATTGCTTCTTGATAAGGCCACACCGATTTAATTTTATGGATGACATCCGCGCGCGCATTGATTTTCGCCCGATCTCAAAAAAAAAAAAAAAAAAAGATCACGTATTCCGAGGCTCTGGGCTGGCTTTAGGCCTGGGTAGTGCATGGTGGTGATGACTCTGGTTGACGGCAGCCAGGCTACCGAAGCTCCAAGACTCAAGAACTCAGTACATACGTACAGCAGTGTCGATTCATATATTCCGCAAAAATCCAGCATGTGTCGGCCTGTCGTATACGTCGCTATGTGATGCGCCAAATTCACAATATCAGGTTTGTATTCCTGTGGTTTTGTAGCATTTTTATTTTTGGCCGGATTTTTATTTTTTTCGCCCGCGCGCACTAGTTTGGGGGTCTTCAGAGGATGTCATCCATAAAATTAAATCGGTGTGGCCTAAACCGACTAAGAGAAGATGGTCAATGAGAAACACTTTATGACTTCTATAACCTTTGTACTGACAAGCTAGACAAATGCTGGGCCCGTCATTGAGGATAGGATTCAGGGCATGTCAAAACATTTGTAAAACTGGAGTTGTACGTCCCCGGCTAGTAGACTCCCAAGAATACAAATGTACAGTATACTATATAAAATAACACACACAGCCAAAGATTTTTCGTGATATCGCACCGTTCTATAATAACTCTATGTATTATGTATTACCGGTAATATATCAAGTACTTTGACCATAATGCATACTTTTGTTTCCACATTCTATTGATAAATGACAAACTAAAGATGTAGATTCTCTGCTGACGCGAACGTCCCCTAGCGACTAGTATAAGCGACAGAAAACTAAATGCACTTCGCCTGATTAATTGTACTCTATCAATTATTACTAGTACTAGTGTTCCGTTTCCCGGTACAGACTGTACCTGGAGTGATACATAGGAACGTTACCATGAAAAAATGTAGGTATCTTGACTATGCTTGAATGTTTCAAATTGTAAATGTTCTTTTGATTGAATCTCTTGCACAGTAATTACCGGAACAAATAAAAACTTGCCAAATTCAACGTTGCTTGATTATTTATTGAGTGCAAGAAAGTGTTACAAAGTGCAGAGCTGCTGTTCATTCTAGAGT